AGTAATGGGGTCCCTATGGTCCACCTAGCGCCTCTACTGGCCAAAGAAGCTCCCAGCAAAAAGGCAGTTACCTGCTCAAGGCCAACGTGGAGGAGTGGCTTTGGGTAAATTGAGGTATGCTTTCTTCTCATCTATAACTCTGCAGGAACATAAAAACTAAGCATTTAAGCAAGATCCTTGCCAAGAGTGGCTCCCTCAATAACGCTCTTTAATGATACCCCAGACGCTGGCATTTTCAAATCAAATGAACAGTGTATAAAATTAGTTCTGCATGAAGTTAAAAAAAATTGAAAGTGAAAGGGAGCTTTTAAAAGCTCCAGTATTTCTCCATCCAACTGCTTTTCACAAGGGTTTGGCATTTGAGAATTGCTACGTTTATGATGTTATTCACTGTTCATAATTCAGGCCCTGTGTCCCCAAACTTTGGTATTAACACACACTGCAAAGGTTTCTCAAGCCAGTCAGGCTGCCTTTGGCGAGGTCTGTTTTCTCAGCCAGTGCTGTGGCCCTGTGCTCCCTCCCTTCTCATCAGCCTTCTTACCCCAACATTTTTTATTAGTTTTGAACACTGCATTTCCATTTCCCACACTGCCCTATAGCTTTCCCATGAAATTTTTTGTCCTTTTCAGTTTTGTTCTCCTTCCAAACTGCCTTGTAAGAAATGAGGAAAACATCATAGAAGAAACATTATCTATAGAGAGTCTACAATTCATTTAAGTTGTGAAAACAATTTCTATGACCAAAGTTACTGTTTATAATTGTGGAAACCAGAGTTTCCATATTGCTCTTATTAGAGGGTCCCATTGATTACATACAAGCATTTTTAAAAAACTAAATCAATAAATAAATGTGAGCTACGTTGATAAGGTGATTGCAGGTCAACTCTAATTCCCAAGGTCAAGTAAGCCTTTGAACGGTCTTTAAGAATATAAGCTTACCCCAATTCATCAAAGCCATCTCACACAGCGTTTTCGTCTCTTAGTTTTTACAATGCACTAAAGTTCAGGAGATTATATGGCATCAGCTTCAAAACCCTCTAACATGCTTATCCAACCAGCAATTGGAAAAGCTACTCAAACAGGGGCTTCTTACTGCACTTCCTAACTTTACAACTGCACGGGGAACAGAATTTGTGGAATGGCTGGAGCATTCCTCCCTAGCAATCAGTGATGTTGCAGCCAAACAGATTTACTACAGTTTAGCTTAGACATTGTCTGATAATCCAAGTACATGTTGCTTTCAGCTACAAAGAATATGTTTAATGTTTCTCATCTATTCTCTCCTGACTTGGGGAGTGGGAGAAGAAAAACACTTTTCTCTACAACAAAAAAAAAGACATTTTGCTATTCCTCAAAAGCTGATGTGAGGAAAAGGCAGGTTTTAAATTTTTTTTCTTTTTTCTCTTAATGTAATACAAGTAGATATTGATAAAGAAAATATAAAAAACTTTCTGCTATGAAAAAGTAAAACAAAATTTCATAACAAAATAGAGAAAAACAATGGTTAACATTCTGTGGAAGAGTCACAGAGAAAAAAACTCCTACAAAGAACACACAAAGGACAAAACTTCCTTTTCAAAGAAAAAAAATACTAGAAATATAAATGAAGCAAATTACCACATATCTTAAAATATTTTTGAAACAATGGAACAGATAACTTGAGGAACTATTTGAATTTCTCCCTATTTCCTATTTTTTCTATCTTCTATTTCTCTTTCTCTCTTACATATATATTTGAATTTTTATATGAGAAACCATCCAATATTTAGGCTTGTGTATCTGACTTATTTCACTTAATATGTTCTAAAGTTGCATCCATTTGCCTACAAATGCATCAAGTTTATCTTTCTTTATGGCAGAATAGTATTCCACTGCATATAAATACTGTATTTTCTTTATCCATTCATCTGTTGATGGACATATGTGCTGTTTCTAAGATCTAGCTGTTATAAATTGTGCTGCTATAAACATGTGTATGCATGTATCTCTGTAATAGAATGATTTCAATGGGAACAAAAGCAGTTGTGTAAGGAACAGCTTCCAAATTAAAGTGGGCCCAAATGAAATTTACTGCATGTGTCTAGATTTCAGTATTTCTCAGAACCACAGGATCAAAGAACATGAGTTCAGGGACACATGCACCCCACAGTCCTGACCCTCCCCAGAGCAGGGATCCCACTGACAAGTTTCTTGATGGGGGGTTAACTGTGTAGCTGCTGAGTGCTTCTGCTCCTCCACTGGCTCCAGCTGGTATGCAGAAATGAGAAAAGAGGTTAAACTAATGAGTTTTTCCAGTGGTTAGAAGATCTGGTTAAGGTTCAGGGAGAAGACTGTTAGGCCCAAATTAATTTTGTTCTTTAATGCCTTTTTGGCACAGTTGATTACAGACTGAGACAGAGCATCTTCTCTACATCCTAATCCTAGTGTTAATTTTGACTTTATTTTCTTTCTCTTTTCCTACTTATGTGAATGGTCTTATCTTCAACTTGCCAATTTCTAGCACTGCAAACCTTTCTTCATCTCTGTGCCTGAGTAGATAGTTAGTAACTTTATTTTGAATATCATGGAGGCATTAGTATTCCTTAGTAAAGTGTGCAGAAAGTGCAACTATAGTATCTTTTAGAGACAATAATAAACTTAATTTTGAATTTTGATGAGAAAAACTATAAAGTCATCTTTTCTAATGTGATTTTATATTCTTCTGGCATTTTCACTTTTCCTTCAAAATGGGATAGCAGGCAATATAAGTTTTTCTTTTGGAAATTCAAAAATCAGAGAACAGGTTAATAATATTAATAATAAGAATAATCAACAAGCAGTACATTTTATACATGATGAACATTATTTTAACTGGTTTGCATATGTTAACTCATTTAATGTTCACAATTTTACAGAATAAGTACTAGTGTCAGCCTCATTTTACAAATAAGGAAACGAGTGTGGCCCAAGATGACACAACTAATAAGTACAAAGCCCAGATTTCGAACCGAACTCTGGCTTCAGAGAAAGTAACTACATTACCAACCTCTTTTCTTCTCTATTCAAATACAGTAATCATTTAAAATCTGGAGATAAATGGCATATATAATATTTGAAAGCTGAATAACTACTTTGGTCTAGGTATCCATCCAACTAAACCAATAAGCACAGCTTTTTGTGCAAGGCCATAAATTGGCCTTTGTGTGTGGTTTGGAAATGACTTCCATCCTCAAGGAACCTCACATGTTTGACTCTGAGCTGATTTGAGGCTCGGGAAGCCAGCGGGGAGGCTGGGTCCAGTGTCTTCTGGTATAGTGCTACTTGGAATAGTCTCTTTATCTCATTTTGGACTAATTTGCCCTTGGGTAGGATCTGAATTCCTTAACTTGAAATCAGCCAAATGCTGGTCAACAATATGTCTGGAATAATCTTCTGTATTAACAGAACACAGAACTTACACAATTCATCTCTGAAGGTGGGGCTGATCTTTTTTTTTTTTTTGGTACTGGGGATCAAACTCAGGACCTTGCGCTTGCAAAGGTGGGGTTAATCTTAACAAATCTAAAGAGGATGGGCTAAAACTATGGTGATTTTTGAAAAAGACTGGGGACACATGAATGTGTGTGCATGCATACATTTTGGTGTCTTTGGTTAGATAGCACTCATGTAGCACTTCCTTCTGGCGGAAGGTGAGGAGCTCTGACTGTGATTGTTTTTGTTTTTAGAGCTCTCTGCCTAATGTAGACCATTTAACTTATTTTAAAAGAAGTCATTTTAAAGTGACAGGGTGGGTATCGAGGTTTGGTTAGTTAGCAGTGAGATATAAATGAGACCTGTAACCCCTGAGTCTCAGTGCCATTGTTAAGTTACAAAGCAAGTTGCTTTCCAGGGTGGGCTGAGAATAAATAATAAAATCTCTAAAACATAACTATCTGCCAAAGGTTTAGAATAAACTGGGATTTAAAAACATCTGGAGAACACACAGACTTAGGTCAATTAATAAAAGTGACAAAGCACAAAAAGGATTTGGGCCATTCTTCTATTTTCCCCCAAATTTGCTAAATTTAGAAAACAAATGCACTTTGAGAGGCATGTGTGTTTAGTTTCACATTCTTTTCCTAGATGTGTTCCTAAATCACCACTGCAAAAGTAGTACACATGTGCAAATTGGTATAAGGTGCCAACAGTTTCTTAGCAAGTATCTGAGGTAGACCTTTCCCAACAAAGCAGTCATGTGGCTGGAGACTGACCCAGGGTTGTGCCAGAAGCCTTGGGCACAGATTTCTCAGTTCTTGGCTCTGCAGCCTTCAGCCAGTGCCTGATTTTAAGTATCTATATTTACAACTTCACAATACAAATAACTATTAGATTTGTTATAGGGAAAACATGGAAGTCACAAAGTGGAAAACACCTGTCTAGTGCATGGTATTCAATATAAATTTTACTATCTTCTTAGTCTTCAAATGATTCCATGTTAAATAAAACAGCATTTCCCAAACTCATGCTGAAATCCCTGGCCAGCTCCTCAGGCCTTCAGTGGAATCTCTGAGATCACTTCTTGTTTTGTGATAGCAGTGGCATCTGTCATGTAAAGAGACACAAATTTCCACACACTTCCCCCAACAACCTTTTCTTGGCCCCCAAATATTGAGAACACATAGATGCTGAGCACCAAAATTACCCACTTGAGAAAAAAAAATTGGTATTGTTCTTTTCACCTTACTGTTGCAGGAAATTTGGAATCCTGAGTAGAATTTTACTGTTAAACCTTGCGAATTGCAGTTTGCCATGAAACCTTTTTAATTTTGGTCCATGGACTTATGAATAGGATACCAAAATCTAAGCTGATGTGTGTATGATTGCCTTTTCATTCTGCACAAAATTCATTGTTAAACAGAGAAATGAAAAATAATCTTAGATTAGTTTAGGAAACCAGGCCAACAATGCATAGAAAAAAATACATTATCTCTTCATGAGTATACTGACATGTAGAAAACAAACAACTTGATAGACAATGCTTACTTTATCACATCTCATCAGCCCCAAATATCTCAGAGATTTGCTGCTTTGTGCAATCAGGGTGGCTCCTTGATCTGTAATTTCTTTACACCATCCAACATCCACGGTCTCTATTGTCATACTGTATCGCCCAATGGCTATCAGTGCTGCAAGGAGGGGAAGAGAGAAAAAGAACATAAATGTTAACGGTTTAAGGGATCTATTTTATTATGATGATTTCTTTCATTTCCTCATAAATTTGTCCCTGAAATCTTGTGTGTAAATGAGTGTTTTATGAACTAAATTAAATTTGAAATGCTTTAGGAAAGATTGTCCTATGACAAACCCTTTTGTAAACTGAATAATCATTCCATAATTTCTCTTTCATTGGATACAACCTTTCATCTGTTTTACTCATTATAAGGTTACTTATATTTTCAAACATCCATATTTGAAAGAGGAATAAATTAAAATGAATTACAGATGTAGCATTACAAAAACCTTAAGTACTGACTAAATTTTATCCAGGGTAATTTTAATAATTTTTAAAAAGAAAAATCCATGTAAACACCATTTTGAGGTGTGCTATACTGTGTGTGAATTTCTTTACCAATTAGTATAATTTTTTTCCATTTGTTCATGACCTGTAAAATGTAAGAGTACATAATATTTTTCAAATTGGTGTTTTTTTGTGGTCGTTAGGAATTAAGACTATATTATGCATATAGTTGGATTTAATTGGTGCCATGCTATAGTGCAGGAAAGGAAATGTATTTGTTAGGGTAAATTTCCTTACCATATCAGAAATCTTCCTTCTATTAACATAAAACGAAGCTTGCCATGTGAGTATTATGGTAGTTTGTCTAGTGCTCTTGGCTGTTTAGCACTGCACCACTACTAAAATGCAGATGCTTCTCCTGTAATCTCTGATGTACCTACATATCCCTGCAAGAGCTTCCTAATCCGTTACCCCATCAGAGTGACCAATCAGTGCATGTAACTCTTTTCCAGGGATTTGATAGGTGGGCATACTTCTACATTTATGAAACATAAAAACAGATTTCAATACCACCAGCCAGAATAAGTTTATGGTGCACTAGTATTTGAACAAAAACTCTGAAAACAATGCCACAAGCATTAAAAAAGAAAAAAAATTGTTTATTATTTCCTTATTCTAAGATAGCATAAGTTCATTTCTGTAACATTAAAGGTGGAAAATATTTTCTAAAGTGTATGGACTAGATTGAGAGGAACAACAGAATGAATTACTTACATAAATAAAAATGACTCGCAGAAAAGATTACTTGCCAAAATCTTTTTGCTAATTACTTAAAAAAATTTTTTTTTTTACTAGAATACTCACATCTACGCATTCCAGTATCAAAGTACTGCCAAGCAGCCAGATATTTAATGTTTATAAAAACAACAATCATGATCCTGGAGTTTTCCAATAAAAATATGATAAAGAAAAAAATTCATTTTTAAGTGCTTTATGCCACAAATTTGCTAATGCTTTCATCTGTACATGCTGTTTTGGCATTTAACGTTTTCGGGGCGGGGGCATGGTGCAATTTGCCAACTACAAATAGTTTGGTGAAATGTTCTGAATATTTGTCTGTAGTAGGAACAATATCCCAGGTAAATCCCATTGGTATCTCTGACCTAAGAAAATTGTTGATCCACCTAGCATTGTTATAACTTTTACTGATATCCTAAAGATCTCCTATGAGAAATGAAGTGGGAAATACATAAATGAAATCTCTTTCAGTACAAAGCACTCAAATCATGAGTTTTAAAAGATGAGCGAGTACACATTTCAAGAGTCCAATGTTGGTAGATTGTTTACAGTTTTTACTGAGGTTTAAGATTGGAACATGAAAGTTCTGACCTATCCAGAAACAGGTGAATCAAATGATACAAGAGGCTTTCAAAGTGTGCTTTATAAGCAAATAAAGGGTTAGCAGTACCAGAGTCTGTAAAATCATGGGTGTTTGGTATTTTCTTTTTTCGTTCTTGTCCAAAATACACAATAAATAAAACAAATGAAGATGAATCAGGATATTCAGTTTTTGTTTTGATCTAATTTTAATTACTGAAGTAGAATTAAACTATTATTCCTTAACTCATTCATGTATTCAACAAATACCTCATGAGCTCTAAACCATTTCTGCTAACAATTTATGACTATTTTCCATGTGTCAGGCCTTGAGCTAAGAAGTTCAGGTATGTTATCTGGTTTTTTTTTTTGTATTAAATTCTTTTATTGGTACATTGTAGGTATACAACACAATTACATTTCTCATTGGGAATTGTACCTTTATTAAATGC